GAGAGAAAGGAGTAGAGAGAGAGAAAACCCTCTAAAGGGTCTTGTCACTCCATAATCCATTTCCCTAGCCCTTTGAATTCTCAGGATCTTGTGCACCTGTGCACACATTCAATGTGTTCTCAGGCTCACCTGGGAATCAAAACCCACAGTTGGCATGTGGCTTCCAGTACTAGAGTCCAATATGCTATGAACGAGCATATGCTATATGCTATATGCTCTGTGCCACCGAGGCTCAACCAAAATGTATTATTAACTGTAAAAAAATGACTTTCTAGAAATATTAACAAGAAAAACATCTTAAATTACAAAAGAGAAACCTGAACATTGAAATGAAATAGAATAAATATGAACAGATCATATGGCAAAAGACTTTTGAAAAGGATTTTATTCAAGGCCTATTGGAGGTGAAAACAAAGAATGGGAGAAAGAGCACCAATAAATTAATTAATACTTAAGACATAAGAACCAAACATCATGTACGAACCTTGTTTGGACTCTGATCTGTAAAACCAAACATAAAAAGAATTTATGAGACACATCTGAATACCAACTACGCATTGGATATTAACTAATCATTCTTATAGATCATAACGGTTTGGGGTAATGTTGAAAGGGTAGCCTCTTATAAAGTAGTTACGGGAAAAATTATATTTTGCCTCTTCTTTAAAACAATCCAATGGTGGAACAGGGGTAACAGAATAAAATATGCCAGGCGTGGTGGCACCTGCCCTATGGTAGAATAAAATATGCCATGTTTTTGTAAATATTAGGCCATCAGAAAAGTCATAATGCATTTTTGCATAGAAAAATGTATCATGATTTTTCCGACAATCTAATAGTAAAGTTGGGTGATGGGTACAATAGGTTCGTTATGCTCTCAGCTTTTATATATGTTTGAAATTTTCCATGATAGTAAGTTTTTTTAAAAGGTCTATTGGGGATCAGCAGATGGCATGAAAGTTGGGGCTACTAGATACCATAAGGCCAACTGCACAGATGGAGTCTAGGACCTCGCATCATGAAAACCATGCTGTGCCATGTGCATGTGTGCCCAAAATCCTGAGAGGAAAGTGGAGAAGGGACTATAGAGGGGAGAATGGAGGAGAAGGGACTATGACATGGCAATTCCCCTAGAAGGTGATTTCTCATGTTCCCTCTCTCTTTTACAGCACACACACTCTATAGCAAACTAATAAAATTAAAAACCAAAAAATTCATTGGTAACTATTACAATATAACTGTATACTATACTGGTTGTTAAACATCAATTCAAAGTTGAAGATAAGAGATCATTATACATCAGAGACCCCTTAGTAATTTGTTCCCATGAGATGGAAAAGGGAAAGATCTTAATTATCAATATATTATCAAATTAGAAAATCCTTAGGTTCCTATCATTAGTAAAAATCAGTAAACTTCATAAGCTGCAGTAAAATAATTCACTTTTCTACATTTCATTATACGATCTCTTACATTAAAAAAATTAATTCTCAGTAAAATGGAATACTTAGATGTACGTTTTTATTTGTTTGTGCCACAGGGTGAGCATGCTCACTGGAGAGAGACAGAAAGAGAAAGTGAAAAATTACCCAAGAGGAGATGGCACATCACAAACCCTTCTACTCCATTCTCCTCTTGAGACTTGAGGTATGCACACACATGTATCCAGTGTGATTTAAAAGCCACTAACTCTTATCTTGTTTAAGCAATGATTATTTTGAGATTTCTCTACAATTTGAAAACAAATTGAATGCTAGATGGTACCAAAAACAAACACATCCTTATACTATATTACTCTGAGATTAAATTTTCAATAGTAGAGCTAGCTGGTGATGTGGTGGGTAAGGCAGCTGGATCCCACATGCCAAGTGCATGGTTTGAGTCCCAAACCTAGTGGCTGGAGGAACATGCCAGTTTTATGTGTGCACCCAAGATTCCAAGAAGAGATTGAAGCATTGTTGGGACTAGTTTGGCATGAATACGTTTTTTTCTGAGCGGGGAAGGCTGTAGAAATAGATGTAATAATAAAGATATAAAAACATATAAGTATAGAAAAGTGAGGATTGGGTGGGCATAGTTTTTTTTGATGGAGAAGCTGTGACTAGAATTAGTCTTAGGTTTATTTTTTCATAGAGCAGAAAATGGGGGAAGGGGAAAATGGGATGTAAAAGAAAATGCAGAAGAAGGAAATAGAATGCAAAGAGAATAAGGGGGGAGAAATTAGAATGCAAAGTCAGTTGCTTTTGGATGAAAATCATCTGAAGATGTGAAAATAACTGGCGCCATATAATTTCTCTGATCTTTTTGGGGGACAATTTGATAAATGCATGCAACTTTTTTTAGTTTGATACTGGGCACTATTGAGGTATTGGGTATTAACAAGAAGACAACCATTGACAATAGGCAGATATTGCTTTTGTATGTAGATGCTTTTTAATAGCCCTGTTAGAGTAGCTTACGGAAGCACATATCTGCATATGTCTACAGGCAGCATGGTTTAATCACATGTTTTCAGATTGGCAGCTCTCTACAAAGCATGACCACTCCTCATGAAGGGTGCTTTCTCATTTCTTTCTCTTCATCTCTCACTGGCAAAAGCACATACCCATTGACAAAATTAAAAAACAAAAGAAATTGAACATAGAAATGACTATGACAAACAAAATGCGTTTTGGTGAGAAATACGCTCAAGAAACTTAAGTTAATTGAACCTATAGGAACAGAGATAATCAAATCATATAAAGAAACACTGATCAGTCAACAAAGAGAAGAAAAATTTCTGGTGTCTAAATACAGAAAGCCAGATTATAAAAAAGACAGAGATAATATGTATATCTGCCCAAATTATCAATGGAAATAAATTTGTACTCTACATCCACTGATAAAAATTAATACTAGAGAATAAATCATTGTGCATATGGAGGTGAATACACAGGGGCATGAGAAGATGAATACCTGCTAAATGATCGAGGTAGGACAGACACTACAGCTAGCGTTCAAAGATAAAGGACATAATATCACAATGAAAGAGCAAACTGGAAGAGTATAGAACAAGTCACCTAAAGGCAGAACAAGTCACCTGTCACTGATGTTTTCATTAGGCACTGATGCATACAGACAAGTGGTTTTAGAAAACAATAGTTTTTGTAATTTACTCAATACATTTCTACAAATCAAGTTACTATATACCTAATTTTCCATAAGAGTGAGATTTTTAAATGCTTCAAATATAAATCCCTTGAACAAGATATTTCATAGGGTGATTTATGAAATAAAGGCCAGAGAGAAATGTAATGTATTACAATACAAAGTTATAATAACGAAATGTGCATACATAAACCACAATACAATCTTGATACAATCACCACATAAGCAAAACTTACAGTATTTTGGTTGAGGAAAATGTAATATATTATAAATATTGTGTATTTATGGTAAAGAATAATTGCTCACATACAAATTAGGACTATAACAGTTTTAACATCAACAATACATTGAAGGGTGTTAATATTACGGGACTAAAAAGGTTAATTTATGATGTGTTATATTTCAGATTTGATTCCCAGAAGATTTAAAAGAGTTATTAGACATATTAAGATTTCACAGAGTCAACATGCCTTTTACACTCAAGTAGTGACTGAACCAATAACCATGATAATCTGCTCACTATTGAATATTTCTAATGAAACTAAATTGACAATAAAATTGAAAAGAACCTCATTTTTTCATATAAAAGTATACATATCACAAAGCATGGTGATATTAACTAATATCACGCTCAACAGAGAAAAGGATTAAGGATAGCAATTCTCCCTGAAAGTGGATCTTAAAGGAGATATCCTACTTAATCAGTAGAGAATAAAGCATAAATGGCATAGTTTTTTTTTTTCTTTTTTTTTTTTTTTAGGTTTTTGCCACAGGGCACATGTGCTGGGAAAGAAAAAACTGAACCAGAGGGAAAGTGAGAAATCACTACCAGAAGAGGATGGTCAGGCTGCAATCCCACAATCCCTTCACCTCCATTCTCTTCTAGGGCTTTTCCACATGCAATCCTGGGCTGGTCATGATTTTCAAGCCACTGGGTCCAGGACTCAAACCCATTCAACCATGTGGGATCCAGCTGTCTTAACCACCACACCACCTAGTGGCCCCAGGTGCCATACTTCTTAATCTGGGTTTCAAGGTCTATTTCAAAAAACCCAGGAACACCCTGAAGCTTTATTTAAAATTTTGAGTGCTGGATTTCATTAGATTCTAAAATGGGTATGTGATCTAAGGAAGTCATTAGTACACTTAGAAGTATACCGATATTAAAGACCAATTTCAAAAGACAAAAATAAAAGTAACTTAGTTTCATAAATTACACTGCAGTTTCTTCTTCCCAAAGCAATTTCAAAAAAATCCCAAAGGTGAAACTCAAAACCATCAACTCAAAAGATAAAAGCTTTTAGAACACATAGGAGACTTTTTACTGCATTCAAGACTAGAGGAAAACATGAGACAGTTTTTGTATTAGAAAAAAGAATGAATGACATATATTTCTCCAGATAACCCATTATAAACCTCTTCCCTATTCCAACACTTAGAACATCTCAGACATTCCCTATGAAAATCTCAATGGGTGAAATCCAAATGCCACTCCCCCACAGAAGGGCTGGGAACAGGTTTCTCCCAATTCCAGAAAAGTGGGAAAAGCTGAGGCATGTAAAGGGAGAAAGGGAAGATTCTTTCTATCTGCCAAAACGAGGCTGGGACTCATCAGTCTGAAGGTATTGGGGGGAAGGGGTAGAGGACAGGAGGACTGCAAGCGACAGGCCGCAGTTCTTGACAAATGCAGCCCTGCGGGACTAGTTGAGGGTATGAGCAAACGACACAGCAGCAGAGGCACTGGCAAGGGTAAGACCTGAATCTCCAGGTGAGGAGCTACGTGGCACTAGGCAAACAGTGCTTCGTCTCCCCCACCCTCTGCTTCCGCCCCAACCATTTTCCCCTTTAGTTACCAGTTGCTCCAGATGCCGTACAGCAGTTCCACAAAAGCGAAAGATAGGTTCAGGCACAGGAAGAAAAACAGGTTCCGCGACGTCTTGTCCGACAGGATAGACCTAGGCAAGACACAAGTGGGCAAGAGCCGGGAGAGTCAGGGGATGGCGGGACCCCGAGGCTGGGCCCCCTGTCAAGATCCTCCCAGTTCACATCCTCCTTCCCTCACAGCAAGAGCTAAAGGGGGAGTCCAATCCCTGATGGTCCTTCCCCGGACCTGGGGAGATCCTTAGCTCTGGGCCTTCTTCCCTTCTGCCTGACAACCCCTCCCGCAAACAGCAACCCGCACCTAAACCAGCCCGAGATCTTGCCGAACAGATTGAACTTGGGTGGTTTGTATTCATCGTCCTTGATGGACAGGGGCAACATCTTCTCTGCCCGGCGAAGGGCCGGGTCTACTCCCCTCTAGAAATGGCTCCGTGGGGTGATGGCAGTGACAGTGAGACGCCTCAGACGGGAATCCCCAGCGCTTATCCGGGGCCGCGCGCCGCCGCGGGACAGAGACAGACCGAGACACACACCCGGGAACTCGCTGACTTCCGGCCCGGGCCGCGCAACGCGTCCTGGGACGGGAAAAAGAGAAGGCGGGGCTGTGGGCGGGGCCTTCGCGGCGGTGGGCGGGGCTTGAGACAAGGGCCGGGTGAGAGCTGGCCTGGGGCTGTCCAGGCTGCGCAAGGAGATTGCCACTGAGCAGGCATCGGTGTCTTATCTGCGGTGAAGTCACACCACCTAGACTCAGGAGGAAAACCCTGAGGGGACGACCTGCAGATTGGGCGGACTGGGAGTTCATAGCCCACTCACGCCCACCCCGACCGCCCACCACCAATGTTCCCGGATGCGCTGGGACCCAGGGCTGGCACTGTAGATACTTCCCCCCGTTTGGCATTAAATCCTGGAATCATAGGTGGCAAGCTGAAGGGTCTAGGCACCAACAGACGGCAGGAAGCGCAAGGGATGGTGTATGCTATGGGTACCCAAATCCTGGTAATCCACTGCACCTCCCAAAACAGCGCCTGGTCCTCCACGCGAGAGGCAACCAGTCTTCCGAAAAACTGTTATTTTTTTAAAACCCTTTTAAAAAAAAGATCCTACGAGGAAAATGCTCGAATTGAGATTTGGTCAATGCGTTGCTACCCGGGCTCTTGATTCAGTGAAACCCCGAAACTCTTGAATTCTTGCACGTTCCTTTCGCTTCCAGGTTATTCCTCCAGGCAGCAGGCATCGCTGTAATTCTTGTCACAACCTCACTGCCTATTTCATGGAAGTGCATGCAAGGGCTGACTCGTCCCCGGGCCGCGAGGGTGTCCAGAGAGTAGTGGGCGAGCCCAGCCTGCCTTTCCTGGGCACCCTCGATCGCTGAAACACTCCTGGCGCCTTTGCGCAAAAGTGTTTGGGTAAGGTCAGGTGGTCAGTCACATGAGTGATTTAAAGTTGTTACCTAGGGAGAGAAATGGGGAACTCAACGACTGGCTTTCAGAGGTGGGCTGGAAACTACAAAACTGAGCTTCCTGGGAATGTCTTTTAGGCTAACAGGAAGTGGAGCGTCACCGAAAGGGAGGGGCGTCCACTTGGGGACTGTCCCCTGCTCCAGGCGCTCACTTTGCGGGCGGCGCTTTTTCCCGGGTATCATTCCACCGAATGGGGCAGGGTCGTTGCAAGCCGCTTGATTTAGAAAAAAGAAAAACAGATAGGAGCAAGCGAGACGCCCCTTCCATTTTAGGATAACCAGGCTGCTAGCAAATAAATCGCCTGGTCCCACTGCAATCTTCTGCACTGAAGGTAAGGAGACAGTGAAATGTCCTCATGTTAAAGATATTTTGCAGTGAGACTATATGCATAAAATATTCGCAGTAAGGATTTATACACGTTTTGCTCTCTTTCTTGGAACTTCGTGTTTGTGCGTGTGGGGAGTACTAATTCGGTGGTTTGTTTTTTTTTTTAAAAATAATGTACTTATTCTGCAATTTTTTTACACGTTCATGTTAATTAAAGCTTCGGGAAAAACAGCGAGGTTCTGAAAATTTAGTTCTGGAAAGAGCATTTTGTTTTTGCCTTTCTTACTGTATATGTAATTGTTTTAAACACAAACATTTTTGATTAGTAGCATTTACTTTTTTTATGGAAGCATTTATTAGTACCAATAGACTTTGAATTTTACTGTACTGCACTGCTGAGGAAACATTAACTGGGTAAAAATTCAGTATAGTTTAAAAATAAATATTTTCATAAAAATTGGGCTTTTCTCCAAAACTGCTTCGTTTCGTTACACTGTAACTTGGGAGAGGAAATAGGACATACATAGAAATAATCACATTTCAGCAACTGATTTCCAGCATTCTCCTATGTCATCAAGGTCAGCTGCAATTTGAACCAGTATTTTTCTATTCTGCCTTTGAAAATGAACTCTATTTTATCCTATGTTGCTACAAATCACAAATTACTCAGCTGGTTTATGGAGAAACTTAGATTCATTACCCTCTTGCAAGTAATTTTGAAATAATGTCAGAAATGTAAACTAATTTAAGTTATTTTGATTTCCAGGGACTCTCAAATATCCCCACTCCCCACCCCACAAATATGTAAGATGGGTATTTCATGAGGACCTTCTCCTTTCCAAAAAGGGGCAATGCTAATTCATATCTTTCAGTCTTGGACAATATAATGACTGAATTCAAGATTAAAAGGATTTTATTTGCAATAAAAAGTATGGATAGACAATATGGAAATCAAGAAGAATTCATGAATGGAAAATGTTTGACTGTTCCTTGTCTGTTATCTTGAAATAGTATTTGTCCCACATGTGTCAACCTTTATATGTTGTCATGTCAAAGTTTGTTTCATTCATTCAGCAGTCATTTAATGAGTGTCTACTATGTGCCACACTGCAGTGGGGAGATAAGTCAAGCCAGACAACTTAAACTTCTTTTTCTGGAGAGAAGCAGCTAATGTGGCAAGGGAGAGATTATGGCAAGCAAACCAGTCCAGTATTATATTTTAGACCTGTGTCATCTTTAAGATCTACACAAGTGATGCTTTGGAGGAGTGAAGAGGGACATCTGTCACTCACTGAGTCCTTCCATGTATACTAAGACATTCCATTTGCCCTTTTAGTAAATTGTTTCATGATCATGGAAGATTCTTCAGTTTTATTCGAGTGTTCAGTATCTTGCAAGTCTCTAATCAGAGGCAGTTATCTGGAGACTCTTCATTAATTTCTTCATATGTTTTAAGATTGAATGGGTTTATGAGATTATAAAGTAGATATAGTAATGAACATTTTAAACTAGAAAATGAATTTCTATTCTGAATGTATTAATATCTTCTTATATCATCTGTCAATTAATTACATTAGGTCAACTATGTATACTCTATGGTAAGAAAAAAAAGAAAAACAGCTGCTCAGATGAGTGATTGAAGACTGTGAGAAGTGAAAGCAGAGAGAATTAAGAGGCAGAAGCTCATCTCTAGCTATGGTTCTAGCTCTTTTTGGGCAACAGTCAGCAAAGAATAGAAAGGATGCCATCTGTCATTCTTCAGTAATCGCCCTGGCATTTATCTGTAACCCTATTTTAGACCCTGTCATTTTTCAGATGCTTCAAAATTGAATGACTTGGAAAATGTGGTGAAAAAAACGAATTGGAATAGTTAAGAAGCCTATAGATATATATAAATTTAGAAACTGAATACAAATGCAAATCGCTAACATGTTCAAAGATTTTGTTCCATGGCATACATGATTTGGTTTCAAATGTATAAGCATTAGACAGTTGGGATGATGTGAGTTTGTTCAGCTTTGGACCCACAATAGAAAGATGGAAACAAAAATATAGCAGAGTTAGCACCAACCCTCACAGAAAGTCATGATCTGACTCATTACCTAAATGTAACTTTTTAGAACACAGAACAGCAAATTTTATTTTCTAAAAATAATTTAAAACTTATGGACAATGGCATTCAAAACATTGTGTGTTTTTTTTTTCTTATCCTGCTGAAAAAAAAAAATATCACAGAAAATTCATTGCTTTCCCTTAATAGTGCCCAGAGAGCCTGTTCTGATCAATTGCTCAAGCCACAAAGAAATTTTTTTAAAAGTTATGAAACAATGAGGTAAGTACCAGTATATTTTTGGCTTTTTAATTGCAGTAAACTGCATGTAAAATTTATGGTCTTAATCATTTTTTTAGAATTATTTTATTTAACTTCATTTTTAATTTGACCAGAGAGGGACAAAGAGAGAGAAAGGGAGAAAACAAGGCGCCAGGTCCAGGACTCAAGCCATGGTTGGCCATATGGGAGTCCAGCATCTTTAACCACCATACCACCTGCCAGCCTAGGTCTTAGTCATTTTTAAGTGTACAGTTGAGTGCTGTTGTTTTTGAGGCAAAAGGAGCCAAACTTATCCATTTTTTTTTAAGAAGTTATTACCGGGACCAGCAGTTAGCGTAATGGCTACGTCACTGAATTCCCATGTAGTTGACCGCGGTTCGAGTCCCGGACCTGGTGGCTTAAACTCATGCCAGGTGCATGTGCCTGCGTGCCCAAGATACCGAGAGGAGAATGGAGGAGAAGGGATTGCGGCATGGCCATCCCCATTGGGGGGTTATTTCTCACTTTCTGTCTCTCTCTCTCTGTCTTTCTGGCGGGCACACGCACCCTATAGCAAAAACCTCTCAAAAAAAAAAAGAAGTTATTACCTTAGGACAGGTGCACTTGCCAAAGAGAGAGAGAGTAAGAGGGAATGTGAAAAATCACTCCCTATGGCTAATGGCCACACCACAGTCCCTTCTCCTCCCAGGATCTTGCCCACACATGCACATGCACCTGGCATGATTTTCAGGCCACCAGGTCCGGGACTCAAGCCACGATCAGCCATGTGAAAGTCCAGCAGTGTAACTGCCATGCCATCTACTGGCCCCCAGTCACCTTCTTAAGAGTCTCAACTCCCAACACTGTTACGATGGCAATTAAATTTCAACATCAATTTTGTTTTTTCACTTTTTTTCCCTTTATTTTATTGCATTTTTTTTAGATGATTTTTGCTGTAAGGTGTGTGCACTCACTGGAGAGACAGAGCGAGACAAAAAGCAAAAATCAACCCCTAGGGGAGATGGCCACACCGCAATCTCCAGTCTCTTCTCAGGACTTTGGGCAAGAACACACATGCACTGGCGTGAGTTTTAAGCCCCAGGTCCAAGATTTAGACTGCAGACAACTATGTGAGAGTCCAGCAAAGTAACGATTACACCATCTTCTGGTCCCTTCCTTGCAATTTATTTGTTGCAGAAGCATGGCTGTTGGCCTTATAGAGTTTCACACATTGTATCTCATGGGATTGTTTAATTTTTTCTTGTTACCCTGGGTTTCCCACAAAATGGTAGTTAGATCTAGAGACCTGAATATATTCAGGCTTAATATTTTTTTGAAAAAATACTAATGCAAGTTTGGCCCAATAGCCTAGTGATTGACAGAGTCAAATCCTACACGGCCAACTATGGTTTGAATCCCAGCGCTGGAAGCTTGAAGAAAATGACAAACGCATGAGTGTGCATGCCCAAAGTCACAACAGGATACAGGAATGGATAAGAAAAGTTTGTAGTATGACCACATCCCATTGGGGGTCTTTTCTCGCTCTCTGGAAAGTGCACATGCCCTGTGGCATAAAAAATAAATTCCAACAAAAAGAAAAATACTACTGTTAGTATTTCCTTTTACTTCATATCAGGAAGTACATAATGTCTGGGTCTCTATTGTTTGTGATTTATGGGGGGGCGGGGAATCCTGAATTGTCAACTAGATCCATTAATTAGGGAGTTTCCAACATTTCAAAAGTGATTTTAGAAGACACTTCCTAGAGTCATTGTTTTATTTTTCTTATTTCTCTCTCTCATCTCCAGAGAGCACACAGCCCTACAGCAAACTAAATACCCATATCGGTAGATATATTAGACTCAAAATAACAATATAATAATATTATTTAATTCATTTTTATCTTAAGGCATGTTTACAGAGAATGCATAGGCAAAAGCTGTTTTAAAAGTAGTTGAAAGAATTCTTCAGTAGGATCTTGCCCACACATGCACATGCACCTGGCATGATTTTCAGGCCACCAGGTCCGGGACTCAAGCCACGATCAGCCATGTGAAAGTCCAGCAGTGTAACTGCCATGCCATCTACTGGCCCCCAGTCACCTTCTTAAGAGTCTCAACTCCCAACACTGTTACGATGGCAATTAAATTTCAACATCAATTTTGTTTTTTCACTTTTTTTCCCTTTATTTATGATAAAGCACATGTACATACCCTTGAAGAGAGGGGTGAACACTCTCCACAATATTGTGTCATGCCAAAATTCACCTCTTTCAGTCCTCCAGCCTGTTGGATCTTGGGCATTGGCATATATGCCCAGTGTGTTTCAGACTGACTGAGCCCAGAATTCAAACCATAATCACCATGTAGGATCCAGCTTCTCTTGCGTAGTGCCACAGAGCCAGCCCAGTTACATTTCAACATGAATTTTAAAGGAGAAATTTGAACCATAGCATGCATATAATATTTTCTGAACGGATTCTCTCTTCATCCGTGAATGGGCATTTTGTTTGCTTCTGCATTTTGGCTATTGCAAATAATGCTGCTGTGAGCACTGGTGAAACACCAGTATTTGCATCAAAGAAAAATTGTTTGCTATAGAGGTGTTTTGTTTCCTTGGAAATAAAACTTTGTACTTCACCCGGGGTCTATTATAAAATAGACAAATGTTTTCTGCTAGGTCAGATCCATGGACATAGTAGTTGAGATTAGAAAATGAAAAGCATCCCTATAAATTTGAAATATTCTTGAAGATGAGAACAAAGCTGAAAACATGGACTGCGCAGAAGCCACAGAAAGTACAAAGTGGCTTGGGTGTGAGAGTCAAGAATTTGGTTCTGACCTACCACTTTTTCTGTGGCTCAGGTAAAATCACTTGATCATCTTGGTCTTAGCTTTCTCATCTACAGCATAGGGTGGGTATATTTTATTTACCTTCTTCCTAAAGATCTGAAGCATTACCAATGTGAAGTATTGTTCAACAGGAAGTGGGAAGAGCTCTGACCACTTTCATTACTGTTGCTGAGCTCTGTGAGAATAGGACCTGGGTCTGCCTACTGTCCCTAGCGCTTGGCAGTACTGGGCACATGGTAAGCCCCTCTACGTATTCATTGACTGATCGACTGTCATAAATATTTTGACCTTTCCCTAAGAACATGAGTAATTCAATTGAGATTGCTTCTATTCTAGGTCTGATATCTAAAAATATTTTAAAGTCATAGTTCATTTGTATGAAATTCATTTCTCTTAGAGAAGTAATTGTAGAATGTGAGTTTATTGCTGAAAAGCAATATTGCGTAAAAAAGGATAGGCTTCCATAGACTATTCTAGGGTTTTGTTACCTAACCACCTTGCTGCCTCTCCATTTTCCTGTGACTTAAACAGGAGAGGTTCAAATGAAAAGGTCTAGTATCCTGGAATGGTAAAAGGTAATATGTTTTCAGATGTACTTGGGTCTTTTTTGACCCATTTCTGAAACTTATTTTGCATGACACTGTACTAAACTAAAAATGCTGTTCTATTTCTAAGCTTTCTTCTTAGGTTACATTGACTCCTTGGATTCCTATGAGTCATGATGTTCCTCTTGGGAATAAGGCCGCTCATAATCTTTCCCTGATATGTATCCATCAGATTGGTGAACTCCAAACATCACTATCATTATCATCCTTACTTACCATGATCAGTAGCTACATTTAATTGACAATTCCAGAAGACACGGCTAGATGGAACTTGCATCTATTGATAGCACAATCCAGACTTTGAAAGTAGAGAGGACCTCATTGTGTGTCTCAGTAACAAAAGACTGAATTGAAGAAGAAAAGGAGGCTTTAAAAAGACCGTAGAATATTTATTTGTTATTTCTCCATAAATTAATGATAGTACAGCAAACTCTAGTTAATTAGTAGTAGGCTTGAAGAATGTTGAGATGGATTGTGATGCTTTGTACAAGAAAGGGAAGAGAAAAATAGGAAATGCCAAGACTGATGAGCAGCTTCTGCTGTAGATAAGGGTATGGGGTTGAGGATGAAAATGGAGACACAGATACTTAATGTCTGATGTCCTTGTTTTAAATGCTGCCCTTCTTATTCATTCCAAACTCATTTGCCTGTGAAGTAAAGAAATGGCTCACTCAACCTAGCTGCTGGCAAGAGGACTTACTATTTAATGTAATCAGCTTAGAAATGCTCTCTCACAGCTTGCGGTGAGAAATGACCTGTTACAGCACATCTATCTATTCACATGTGACATCATAGTAAATGTAGCTATTAATTCTCGATATGGTTTAACAATTCATTTTCAGGACTATATATAGTCTCAGAAATGTAGTAAGGGCAGGACTAGCTAAGCCTTCTGAATGATGGGTTTACATTGGCTATCAACAATCTCTCTCTCTCTCTCTCACACACACACACAGAGAGAGAGAGAGAGGGAAAGAATAGATGTCTTCGGTAAGTTCACAGAAAATGCATTATTATGCAAGAACTATTGGGATCTGGATCCCACACAATCAAGCCCACAGTTCAAGTCCTAGACCTAGTGGCTTAAGAAACATGCTAAGTGCATGCCCAAAATTCCAATAGTAAGGAGATATGTAAGAAAAGGGATTGTGGCATGATTTATTCCTGGGGTGGGGGTGGGGTGGGGGGCTCTCACTGTCTCACTGTCTCTCTGGCAAGCACACATACCCTCTAGTAAAAAAGAAAGGAAGGAAGAGGAGAGAAAAAGGAAGGAAGGAAGGAAGGGAGACCAAACGAACTATGTATATATGGATTTCAAACTTTCACTAACTTTTGGAAGTTACCTTGTATATGTAGCTAGTTATACTGTTGATAGAAACGATAGATCACTTTAATCATAGTAGCTAGTCCATTACACAGTTGATCCAGATGGTAGGCGTCTAATTGATGCATTCATATTACTGTGGAATTGTCATAAACACAGCAAAATCATGAGTCGAATCTTAACACTACATGGACCCTTTTATTATTATTATTTGTATTATTATTATTGTTGTTATTATAA